CGTTGAACTTTGGAACGACTTTAACTGTCACCCGAAGCCGGATCTATTAGAAAACGTCACAGTATAGCTATAAATGCCTTAAACCACACAAAACAAAGATAAATAGAGTGAAGTGAGCCATAAAGACCATGAATATGTTGGTTTCGGAAAGGCCAATTCCACTAAAATATCATTCGCTAACCATGCCAAAAGTCCCGGTGGTTAGGGCACAGGGCGTAAGTGGCCGGCGTGGTAGGCTTAAGACCAATGAACGCGTCGGATCGCTTTAAACCTAAGGCGTCGCATGTACGAAAGAGAGGCGAAAATATATTTGATCAGCGGCCATATCACAACCATAAATGGCGCGTGAAAAACCCCATGCACTATCTCGCAACATACTGATGCAATACCAGTGCTGGAGAAATAGCGCTCTCAGGGTTCAATCCATCCATAACAACACGCTCCTCCGCTTTGCCTTAAAAACTGGCCATTAGTCGTGTAGCTCAAGGCAGTGAGTTTGTCAAGACGCAAACACAGCCAACGGTGGCTTACAGCCTTGCAAAGAACTCGATTCACAGCCGAGTTACGAGCGTCCCGGAAGTCCTCGGTCTCAAATGACAAGATGATGTAGAACGCTGCGCAGCAGGCAGGTCACGTTCGTCGCAAGGTGCTGAGGCCAGCCACGATTCTTACGACTAGTAATAACGTTAGTTATTTGGTATTTTAAGTCGTTTAGTACAAGAAGTGAATCTTGGCTGAAAGATCAGTGAAAAGCACCGATCTGAGGGTCATTGGAAAAGCATTGCGTCACCACTGATCTGTGACGTTAGCGCCGATGCCATACAGTTTGTAGCATATTTGTGTCACCTGCCAAAAACGATCTTAATTAAGCTTTTATGGCAACGTGGCAGCATGGCAACATGTTCTGGCTCAACCTTCTCATGCAGCGAAACCTAAATGCTTTGACTTGTGCTCTACACAAGCTTACGCTGCAAGCGTTGACCAGTACAGACCAAAGCTATACTTTGAGTGTCGTCTTACTGGGATGGTCTGTTGTAATATGACTATGTAATATATGTAATTTGTCACCATTTCTGCACCTTTGTCACCAATAGTTTTCAAAAACTTTCGTTGTTGTCACCGATCACATCCTGCAGATTGGCAGCTTTTAACACTGGATGTCTTTTAATTAAAATCTCAATTTGTTGTTGAAAACTCAATTTGTTGTATTTTGTTGCCATTTCTGCACCTTTGTCATCAAATAGGTTTTCAAAAACTTTCATTGTTGTCACCGATCACATCCTGCAGATTGGCAGCTTTTAACGCTTGGATGTCTTTTTAATTGAAATCGTCTGTGCGTTTAAGTGATGTGTGATGTGCGATGCCCGGTTACTTAATATCTTTTACTTGAAATCGCTTGCATGCATGAATGATGTGCTATGCGTGATGCCTGTTTACTTAAGTTCATTTGCATGTACAAATATATTTCGTGTATTTTAATTCTTGGTTACATATGCACCGTGTCATAGTAATGGCTGGCAATTGCCCCTCGTTTAATGCCGTGAATTTTGGTGACCTGTAAAAGCTGTGGTTCTCTGTTTAAACGAAACTGAAAAATTTAGTAGGATGGGCAGTAATTTGGAATTCACCACTGATATGCGTTTCAAAAAAAGGCTTGTGCCAGAAATATCAATGCATCTGTCTATCTATTGTCTTACAAAGAATAAGGCCATTGGTGCCGTCTTTTTTATATACTCTTAAGTTTTACGATTTATTAAGTCATTATTAGTTGATGCGTTTCACCATGCCTCGAAATCTGACGTGAAACATAGATTGGAATTCCTGGGCACGTTCAGAGCAAATTGTTAAAATGGTTTTAAATGTTTCATCTGTTATTGTCACGTTAAAACAGCCATTTCATTTGCCGCCTTGGTCGCCAAACTGGAAAAATAGTCGTCAAACTGAAAAACAAGATATTCCCCACAGCGCATAAGCCTAAGCTTCCGGCGAGCTGAGTGTTGTCTGGTATGCATTGCATAATTTTTTATACAGTGCTTCGTATTATTTACTAGCATCCACTAAAATATCCACGTCTGGTCTTTGTCATTATATCGATTCCACTCTGTCGTACGTCAAACAATGCCAGAAAATGTCAAAGCCTCCTCCGAAAATCCACCGTCAATGTTAGCTTTCCTGTCCCATTAGACGATAATTGTGCAGGTGGACCCATTCAACTAAAACGCCAACTGCACGTTGCTTTTTCATATGCCGAGGCCCAGAGCACACAGCCCGAGCCGTGTCTGGGAGCCGACGGCGGACGTGCTGCGCCACGTGTGACGAGGCCCAGAGCACACAGCCCGAGCCGTGTCTGGGAGCCGACGGCGGACGTGCTGCGCCACGTGTGGCGAGGCCCAGGGCACACAGCCCGAGCCGTGTCTGGGAGCCGACGGCGGACGTGCTGCGCCACGTGTGGCGAGGCCCAGAGCACACAGCCCGAGCCGTGTCTGGGAGCCGACGGCGGACGTGCTGCGCCACGTGTGGCGAGGCCCAGAGCACAGCCCGAGCCGTGTCTGGGAGCCGACGGCGGACGTGCGCCACGTGTGGCGAGGCCCAGAGCGCACAGTCCGAGCCGTGTCTGGGAGCCGACGGCGGACGTGCTGCGCCACGTGTGGCGAGGCCCAGAGCGCACAGTCCGAGCCGTGTCTGGGAGCCGACGGCGGACGTGCTGCGCCACGTGTAGCAAGGCCCAGAGCACACAGCCCGAGCCGTGTCTGGGAGCCGACGGCGGACGTGCTGCGCCACGTGTAGCAAGGCCCAGAGCACACAGCCCGAGCCGTGTCTGGGAGCCGACGGCGGACCTGCCACGCCACGGCCGCGTCAGAGAGTGGGCGGGTCCGGGGTCGTGTGTCCTCCACCGTGTCCATCAGGCGCCGTGACTTTTAGAGGCTGGCGCCCCGTCACCACAAAATGTGACGGTGGAGCCGTCGTGCAGACGCTACCAGCCACAAACGCCGCAGCGTCGGGCAAGGGCACACCGCAGCCATGCTCTCCAAAATCAGCATCACTCGGTCTGCCGGCGTTTTGTCCAGGCTCGTCATCATTTCCGTGATCCTCAGCGCTCTGTGCGACTTAACCACCGCAGGAGGTAACGCTTTGGACGGTGCTGTGTTGCTGTGCGGGAGGGTTTCGCACGCGCCTCCAGTTAGCGTTGTCCTGTGGTCATGAAGCCAGCACGCATCAGCGGTTGGTTACGGTGGTCGTTGTTATTGGAATGCTGCAGCAGGCTACACCTGACTTGCAGTGGTTTCGCTCTGAAATCAGTTGCGATTCTTTCTTGATCTGTATGGTTCCCTATCGCAAAATCGTTCATGCTGTTGTATCTATTTTTGACAATTCCTGATGTATGTTAATTATAACCAATGTAACTACATGCGCCGGCGGGAACCTCCCACATCTGTAGGAAATCAAAATAAATATGTGCGAATACACAACAGATGAAGTAGATTAATTTTGTGATACATTTTATATAGGCGGGCTCGTTGCTGTTGCTACTTGTTGCAGCGTTCAGGATCACTGTCATTGCAACCTATCGCTGTTGTGCTCTAACTTCGTAACTAGATGGCACACCTGCATGTGTGATGTACTGGACACCTCTATGGATGGATGTTGGTTGCCAACACCAGTACGAACGGCCATGTTCTATGTGTCAGAAATCGGCAGTTTCGATGTACCGTCTTTCCGTTTCGGATTTTTTGCCGGCTGACTGAACAGAGATTAGCTTAACAGTACAATAGTGTGGTATACGGTGCAACAGTGTTCTAACAGCATAACAGTGGAACATAATAATGCTATAACCGTTTAACAGTACAGTACAACAGTGTCATAACAACATAACAGGACAGTATTACAGCGTCATAACAGCAAAACAGTGCACGATGAGAATGTTATAACATTGTAACAGATGCAGTATAACGGTGTCTAACAGTACAATAACGCTTTCAGCATCAGGTGCGTCCGACCAATGGTTTTGTTCGTTCTCTTGCTTTGATGTGTTGTTCTCCCAGCATAGTTCAAGACCGGTGATATCCAAGCTTCGGGAATACATTGTAGCCTTTTACCAACGAATCGAGATAACCGTCCTGCCTCCGATCTGTTCACAGGCTGGAAATTAATAGTATGCTACAGTGATAAAGACTGCCCGAGGGCCGGACCGTACTGCGTGGCGAAGAAATGCCGACGTAAGTAATCAGTGATAATGCCAAGCTATTTTCGCGAGGTCTTGTCATTCAGTTCAGAATGAAACAAACATGCTAATGTCGGAATAGAGCACATATAAGACGAACATCTATGGCGTGTTGAATTTAGTTCAAAATTTGCGATTTACCTAGACACCTGCGACTTGTTTGCATGTGCCGCCTGGAATGCGATAAATATGCATCAATTTAAATGCGTTTTTTACGACTGGCTGCAAAACATGCAAATCTAAAACTGATGGCAAGTAGCTCTTATATTTCACCGTGAGACTGTGTGGAGTTTGAATGCGCCGTTTTAGCGCGACTTGACCCCGGCGGGCGCGATGTGAAGCACACACAAATCCCACAGCTCGGCTGTGTTATCCAACGCGCCAAGGCTGGACAAAACTATTTCCCGTCCCTGGCCTTATGCCAATGTGTCGTATGATGTCAAGGAAATGTATAAAACAGTTGAAATTAGCGACTCGGCAAACAGCTGCACAGCCCCACGATGGACAATTGTCATAAAACCGTTGAATGATAAAGTGCTTTGCAAACGCCAAAATTCGCCATGCTGTCCTCAAAGGATTTACCTAGATTTAAAACAGGCTGGTCATCAGCGAATCGGTGAAAGCTTCACTTTATGATAGTTATGCTAGTCTACAAATGTTCTGAACGGAAGAACCGAAAAATCGGTGTTTTTAGAAATTGAGATGGATTTAGCTCAAGTCATTGGCAAAATCCAGGCGATCAAAATGTGCATGGACCCTTCAGATCAGCAGTGCAAAAGGTTATTGAACTGGCAGCAACAGTAAAGGCGACAGGTGTGCTAGACGCGTGTTCTAGAAATATGCTGTTATTGGGGCTGAAGTCTTTTGAATAAAGCTGAAGAGAAAAACACACTCAATTTGGTAGTTGTTGGTTGGCATTCATAATGCAGAGATATTCAGGTGAGAACTACGAAGTTAGTTTATCTTGTCACTTAGCAACGCTAGAAATCTAAGCTGTTTAAGCCTTTCAGCACATGGAAGGATATTAAATGCAGGGCAAGCATTTTACCTTCCTCTATGATGCTGGGACCTCGACAGCTAGCTGCTTTCCCAAACACAGAAATAGCGTCAGGCGACACCGCCGTTGAAGTGTAAATGTGCTTACATGTACTACACATGCGTGTAAACTACATGTAAGCCACATGTACTACATGTACATGTACCCTGATGTGCTTACATGTACCACACGAATTAATTGTGCTTAAACATTTGCAGGGAAATTTCTTTTGAAGTAATTTCAATATCAACTGGTCATCATTTGGCTATGAATTGGACATTCCTTATTGTGAACTGAAAAGGGCAAGATTGCGACATCAAAATATCCATTTCATTCTTGCTATGATTAAAGAGTGTTTTCTCAAACTATTCCCTCACTTACCGCACAGTTCTGAGTTCACTATGCGCTTGGAAGTACGGACCCTTGCTCAACCCACCCTGGCACGTGCGTGGCCGGGGCGCCTGCCCTCAAGTTCACCCACCTGCGGCGAGATGGCGTTATAATGCGCTTGCCATTTGTCCTCGACTGGTTGGCCTACAGCTCTTTGCAGCGGCCGCGCTAAAGGTCAGGCGACGTCGGAGAGCAGGACGAACTCTGTGGATCGTTGCGGTACGTTAGCTGTTGCCGCAAAATTCTGCCCTTGGCCTCAAATCACCGATCGCAGCGAGGGGTCAGGCTTATCTAGCAGGCGCTGCTTAGCGCTGATTGCGGGAATCCACGCAAGGCAAATGTTCACGTTAAATCTGTCGAAAGTAGAAAAGTTGTGATATGCGAGTGCTCAAGCTGTTTGCTACCATAACACCCCAGCAATGATCAATATCATTTTTTTTAAATTTCTTGGCTGCATGATTTATTACACCTCATAACGTAGGAAATTATCAGCCAAGAAATGTTATTTGGATACTATGTAGCCAATCTGTAGGCTTTTTATCATGGTAACACAATTTTTTAAGCGGGGCATTTCGAGAGAAGTTTTGTTAACAGGCAGCACTTACAACACTGTCAAGGTGGCTACTGATGTTGTCTGGCTACCGATGTAGCTGTAGTCCGAAATTGCATCACGCAAGCTGAAACGCTTACACGACGTGCGAACTGTTTGATGCAATGCTTTTTTTATTTTGTACTTACCTTTGCATGGAAAAGGTAAATACATGGTGGTCTTCTGTGGCACTGAAGGCTGCTTTATTGTCCTTATCCTGATCTTGTTGCTATGTAGCATTTAGGTTACACTGCTCTTTCATTTGAAACCCCTATGCAAACGACTGAAGGTGCAGAACGCCGTGTGATGGCGGGGCGGGAAGCGGTGACCACATGCAATAACTACGAGTCAAGCCAGGGAAGCCAACTGAGAGGGACATTTGTACCGTCTAACCCGCCCACGGCCTTCTAGCACCCCCTTCACCAACCTACCCTTCCCAACCTAGAGGTGAGCCAAGCCCGAACAGTTAGATCTTCAGCCTTTTCATCCCGTCTCGCTTCGCCTCTAGGAGCAGCACGCTGGTATTTTGGTTAGGGTCTGCTAATAATCGCATCCACATGCAGTCTGTGAGTATTATTTTGCTGTTCGCTAGGAACGGGGAGTATGACGTCACTCTGGTTTTCTCTAAGGCGTCGATGACATCATGCCGGTGGCGCCTCGCGACGTCACTCGAATCTACCATGCAGCAGGCATCGGATTACCATGGGAGAAAAACTGATCTGATCCACTGAACTGGAATGGTGCTAGAGGCATGCCCACCACCAAACGTGTGGTTATTATAAAGTTCACATACGAGTTCCGTCTAAATTTCGTAGTTTACATACGTTACGCATTTCAGATTCTCCTGTAATACGAACAAATGGTGTTAGTTTAAAAAAGCATGCATATGTTCGAGTAAAAAATGAAATGTTTTGGTTTACCCTCAGGATACAAGTTTCTGGCATGAAAGGTGTTGAATACACCACCATGAGATAACTGTGGTGCAACACACATAACCATTCAATACATTCTCCAAATTCCATGGTACCACTGCCTTCAATGAATCCACAATTCCGAGTAATGACAGGAAGGGAACCGAGGATCTAAAAATTTCATATCCCGTTCGCACCAAACTGATAAACTGACACGCCCGATATACGCTTGGGGAGCGGTCAAACTTACTCATAAGAAAGGCAAAACTGGCCGCGTGCACCTTCTTAGCATACACCAGAGATGAAACGAAACTCACTTAAACGCAATGTGGAAACTAATCCACCAGCCCCTGACATAGGAGCCACGATTAGTGCTGAGTATGCTACCTTGACAACACGGCAAACGGAATGCTTGCATGCACTCCATGGCGGGAGCGTGACATGGCTCGGTAACCCCATGGCGGGGCGTGACATGGCTCGGTGACCCCATGGCGGGAGCGTGTTATGGCCCGATAACCCCAGTGATAAGATGCCTGTTGTTTCAGCCATCACGGCCTACTGCACTGGCAATGAGACCGGTGTGGCGTCGTGCAACAGCTGCGTCTGCTTAAATGGTGGCTGGGCGTGCACGAGGAAGGCGTGCGCCAGGAGCTGTGAGTAGCGGTAGCCCGACTGGTGTGTTTTTATTATATATATATATATATATATATATATATATATATATATATATGTATATGATTCTATAATCTTAACGCAATTACGCAGCATTTTTGTGAGGAATTTAGATATAAGTATATATATGCGTACATATATATATATATATATATATATATATATATATATATATTACTACACATATATTTATATAAAGTTATATCTACTTAATGCAATTACGCAGTATTTGTGTGAGCAAGAAGCGTATGCGAGGACATGAGTGAGAAAAGAAGCTTTGCATCCCGAAAAGAGCACGCTGGATCAAGCTAGGCATGGGGCCAGTTACAATGTGACGTAGAAGGAGATGCTCCTCTACAAACTTCTGAGCTCCAGAATATTCAACCCTCCAGTTATTGTCTTGTCAACCACAGCGCATTCTCAGGCTCATCTATACCGATATATGTTGCTAGCGTCTAAGCCCGTGTTAATAGGACCCACTTGTTCCCCAGATCACAGTGTTTCCATGTTTCCAGTCCCTTACAACGGAGCTGTGCCATGCCGCCTGGCGGAGGATTTGTGCCGGAGCCAAAGCTCGGTACGTTACTGGTGGTGCAGTCACATAGAACGTTTACATTGTGAAATGCTCGTTCAAATGGCGAATGAATTAAAAGAGAGATAAAAAAGAATTAAAATCAAGGAGAAAATGATGAAATGAATGAATGCTTAAAATTGAATAGTAATCTCCGTCATCGCCTTAAGCAGTGCGGTGCACTAGCTGTTGATTAGCTTCAGCGCCTACTTGGCAGTAATACCTTCCTAACAACGTAGAATTAAACAAAGGTTTTTGACATTATCGGTGAGATAGCTCAATAAATCGTGCAAAGGCACAATGCAAGGACATTTACATTGCCCAAGAACAAAAGAACAGCATACCAAAACTACTACATGCAATTAACCACGAGAAGATGAAACGAATCCCGCTTGAGGTGGCATCCACCCAGTCTTCTCGATCACGCAAACGGAAAATGCACGAGCGCTGCGGTGTGACTGCACCTGCAATGCATCACAGCTTTGGATTTAGGCTTGAAAGCATCTTCAATTCGGGGCTGTGAATGAAAATGTTAGACCTCAACGCTCGCATGTTCCAAATTCAAAATCCTACAACACCTACTCCCTCTTGTGTGGTCATGTATGGTCATCCGTATGAAAATGAGCAGCTCAATACATATCTATATGTAAGAAATAAATGTTAACAAAATTATACAAAGCAGCAGCAACGAACGGTTTCCAGGCATTTCTTCTTTAAACCAAACTATTTGCTTCAGAACTTCCAGCAGACGCGGGGTGCTCAGGAATGACTCAATGACGTCACCATATGGCATGGGGTGCTAAGCGATGACTGAATGACGTCACCGGACCGCGCGGGGAGCTGAGGGGTGACCGAGTGACGTCACCAGGTCGAGTGCCTGCCGCCGGCCGGACACACTCATAAATGCAACCCTGACCGGCGGCGGACGCGTGGCCCGCCTCAGCTAGCAGATCGGATGGGTAGGTGGGTGGGTCGTGGGCTCCCTGACCGGCGGCGGACGCGTGACCCGTCGCAGCTAGCAGATCGGATGGGTAGGTGGGTGGGTCGTGGGCTCCCTGACCGGCGGCGGACGCGTGGCCCGTCGCAGCTAGCAGATCGGATGGGTAGATGGGTGGGTCGTGGGCTCCCTGACCGGCGGTGGACGCGGGACCCGTCTCAGCTAGCAGATCGGATGGGTAGGTGGGTGGGTCGTGGGCTCCCTGACCGGCGGCGGACGCGTGACCCGTCTCAGCTAGCAGATCGGATGGGTAGGTGGGTGGGTCGTGGGCTCCCTGACCGGCGGCGGACGCGTGACCCGCCTCAGCTAGCAGATCGGATGAGTAGGTGGGTGGGTCGTGGGCTCCCTGACCGACGGCGGACGCGGGACCCTCGCAGCTAGCAGATCGGATGAGTAGGTGGGTGGGTCGTGGGCTCCCTGACCGGCGGCGGACGCGTTACCCGCCTCAGCTAGCAGATCGGATGGGTAGGTGGGTGGGTCGTGGGCTCCCTGACCGGCGGCGGACGCGGGACCCGTCGCAGCTAGCAGATCGGATGGGTAGGTGGGTGGGTCGTGGGCTCCCTGACCGGCGGCGGACGCGGGACCCGTCGCAGCTAGCAGATCGGATGGGTAGGTGGGTGGGTCGTGGGCTCCCTGACCGGCGAGGACTGTTTGTCATTATTGTTAGGATAGACGCTGAGATTACGCCTTGCGCTTTTACGGCGATGTACTCATCGCGTCCTGTGCCACTTGGTGTTCGTAATAAAAAATAACGAACAAGCGAAGTTGTGCTCAAACTCATGACAACGAATTGGAAGTATAACAACACTCTCGCGGGAGGTGATTTATGTACACCATGATAAGAATAAGGATCCAAGGTGTCTGCAGTTTTCCCCTACACTACGCTGAAAAGCTATTGTTTTACTGGTTTGTACAGCATGCAATGGTGTTTCTGAGATCAGAGTACTTGCTTAAACATAGCCCAATACGTGAACAAGACCTCACCACCCATGCTGTGTTGTCCATTTCGTCAAAACAGGACACCTCCGTCCTTTACAGCTGCAAGGGGTCGCCGGAGCATCCTTTTGTGCCGTGCACTGCTAGCATGCGACCGCTCCTCGCCGGATGCTAACGAAGTTGGATAGGCAGTCAGCTATTAACGCACCATTCTGTGGATAGGCCAGCGCGCCGACAAGCAACGATTTCGAATTACAAAGAGGCTGCTGCGCAATGTTTTACGCCATCGCACAACCGAGTTTACCTCTTGCTTATGCTCCGTTCAAAGCACGCACGACTCCGCAGCACTAAAAATATACGGCCCGTGGCTGCTCCTCGCAGGCTGAGCCTATGGACCCACCGCCGGCCAGTGACACACCGTTGGCCAGCCCGTCGGTGAAGGGTGCAGAGAAGCTGTCCTCCCTGCCTCCCGCCGCCGGGCCGGAGCCGGTCGTCGACGCCGGCGAACCTGCGCCGCCGCCCGTCCGCGTCGACAGCGTGGCTGCAGCCGGCGACGCTCGTGGTGCCCTGCCAGCAGCGACAGTCCCAAGGCCGCAGGTAAACAGCGGGAAATAGCCCCGGGGTGATGTAACACCGGGAAACATCTTCAGGGGAGATCGGGGGGGGGTGGGGGGGGGGGGGGGGAGGAACGGACCCACAGACGAGGCAATAAAGGAAGTAGTTCCGGATACAGGACGGGGACCTGACTTTTCTACGAAGGTGACACAGGGTGACAACTTCTGACAGGAACACCGTGGTGCAGAAACACAACCTGAGGCGAGCACAGCGTCAGCTTATTGCGCTGCGTCACAGCTCGCTTCCCTTGTCTGATTCAATCATTGCAATAGCCATTTGCACAGCGAAGTAGAACACATAAACAAACGTTGTCGCTATTTTCCAGAGGCATTGCTAATGCTAATAACAACTTTAGAAACTGAGCCTGTTCACGGGTAGACGATTTGCGTATTCGTCTCGGAAGCTCCAGACAACCACTTAATGTGTCAGACGGCCACTTGATCTGGATCTATAACTGGGTCTGGGGCAATGGACATTGACAATTCCAAGCTGTTGACAAAATGTCATAAACGATGGAATATCAACCAAATTTCGGGGTATTCACAGACCATCGGTGTGGCTGCAAGTGGCACCGTTGGCCAGCAGTGAGTAAGGGTGCTCCACCACCCACCTCTGGCGCCAATGATTCCCACTGTTATATCGCTTGCACATTCTGTCCTACACTCCATTACCGCTCAACATTCTCTGCCACATTCCTGGCTGACTGTCTCTTTAAACCTTCCTTAGCCCTTCATAAACCCTATGTGACGTGCAAGTGCACATTTACATGTGCGTGAGCATGCGTCGTTAACAGCTTTCATGGTATAGCAATTCACAAAAAACAGTACTCACACTGCACTTGAGCCACTTTTTGTGATTCACACGCGAGCTAACGGCCATCTTTTGTGTCACTGCAAAGAATCCATCCTAGTCTCGTTGTAAGAGAAGAGTGCTTTGTGCTAACGGAGAAATGAATGGCTGATATTGCAAATTCTTCTTGCTCACGTTCAAATGTAAAAACCTGTACATTTGGGCAAATGCAGCTTCCCAGGCTCTTTGACTGAATGACCGAGGTGTGACAGTTCAGTGCATAAACCGTAGCCTCACTGCTTTCAGTGCGGAAGCCCCAGCTGTGCAAAACGGATGCTGACTGCCCACAATACGCTCCCTACTGCGGAGAGGGCAAATGCCGCCGTGAGTAGCACACGTGTTTTAAGTTTGTCGTCCTTGGCCTTCTGCTCTGCGAGACGTATAAAGTTCGGCAAAGATATTAATGGACGGCAGATTAATTAGCAAGGACGGCGACCGCCAGTTACCTTTTCCTGCATCAGCTGCCGATGAATGGGCCAGAGGAAAAGTATTACACGTTGGTCTTTTAAGCAGCCTACTCTGTGGATTGCGACCACTAATATGTGATGTTTCAGGGGTGATAACACACTGCCGATCCGGCGAAGAGGGCATGGCTGGATGCAAGAGGTGCATCTGCGGCAAGGGCGTCTGGGCCTGCGTGTATAAGAGCTGTCCGGAACCATGTAAGTGCACATTAAGACAGCAGTTTACAGTTGCTTAGGCCTGGGCCTGCCTGTTTAGGCCGTTTGGGCCTGCGCGTATAAAAGCTGTCCGGAACCAGGTAAGTGCACATTAAGGCAGCAGTTAACAGTTGTTTAGATAGTATTTGTATGCATTGTTTGGTGTGTGTAAGTCGGAATGCAGTAGCAAAATGATGTAGTGCAGTAACACCTGATGTAGTGCAGTAGCAGAATGAATGAAGTGTCCTTAAGCTGCGCGTGACGCATTTCTGAACATCGGTTCGTATGGTCTAATTATCTTACAGCTACAGTGGACACAACATTTTTGCGTCTATGTGGCAACATGAGCGTAATATGCTGTCATCATCATCATCGCCGCCGTCACCATCAGCACCTCATGAAAAGGTTACGTTTCAAGTAAACAAATACATTGCCACAAAATGGAAATGTTATAAGTATATCAGCGGAGGGTGCATTTGAATCAGTTTCAAACCAGGAGCACTGGCAACTTTAGGGAGCCCTTGGCGCACTTTCGCTGCAATGCACGGCGCGACGCGAGCATAGGAGAAAGGACCCTGTTGTCACCATGCTCACTACGGCATGTCTGTGCCTTTGCAGTCAAACATGATGGAGCGGTGCCGTGTCAGTGGGCGAAGGATCTGAAGCTATGCCGCGACTGATCCTCGGTTCTGCCTCGGCCACTGCAGCTGGAATTACAAGACAACAACCAACACGTTCAGAAGCAGCTTTAACCCTCGCCCTGACTCGCCCCACATAATAGCGCGGAACGATAGAAAGTTTGATACGACCCACCCCTCCGATTTCCAAGCTAAGAAAGATAGAGCCTCGCGGAGAAAACAGTGAATTGGCCTCAACGAGCTCTCGCTATTAGTTTGGATTGGTGTTGACAAGGTGCTAGGTCAATAACTGACCCCATTCAGCCAGATCAAAAGGCCAGTGACAATACCATGCCAGACAGAAACATGAAACGACACAACGGTGTTTCTTGTTTAATTTTGAGCACACTGATGCATTTTTATGTGTTTTCAGCATATGTTCATGGTGCAGGGCTCTGTTAATGCGACAGTGTTGGCCCGACATGTGCGATCGACGGCTTCGTCGGTAGCCACCTGCCGGCCGCGGATCGCGGAGTTCTTAGAGGGTTCCTACAAAACCATTCCTCGTTGGAAACCAGGAAAGCTAGAAGCATGCTGGTACGGTCAAAACACGCGCAACTAACGTCCATTACGCTAGCGAAACTATGGGCGTGATTACACTACACACCAAGGCGCTGTCCCCCAAAATCCTATGGGGCTCACATCCCCCCCCCTCCCCCTCCCCCGCCGCTATCGGAGCGAGAGTTAATACGGTTAATGGGCTTCCTGAATTTGTGAAGACTTCGAGCACAAAAATGCACGGTGCGCTGGTAAATTGACGCACCAAGAACTGTGGTCACTAAGCAAGGGGCGCCAGCACATCTGATGCACATTGAAATTTGAAGCCATGATCCGGAACAATGCATTCGGTACGAACGCTTGTCTGTGAGAACCCTGAAAATAGATTTTTGGATGGCCACAAATGCAGTTTTTGACACCGCTCTGTGGTGCTCAATATTTGATCGGACACGTTGCACCACCACATCTCTGTGATGTATTGCAAACGGTGTTCTATTAATTATTTTGTATTTGGTTTGAACAATATATTGTCAAGCGGTGCCAATGCTTTGTTTTATTGCATGTTTTATTGCATCACAGTCGTGGTCGTCATCATCGTCTACGACGTGCTCGTCCTTGAGCGCGTCATCGTCATTGACATCATCATCGCCATCGCCATCGCCATTGCCATCGTCATCGCCATCGCCATCGTCATCGTTCTCGTCCTCGTCCTCGTCCCCTGTTCGATAAATATGCTCCTCAACGCGTCATTGTTTGATGACGTTATCGTACCTTGCACAACATAAATTGAGATCCAATTCCCAGCTATTTATGGCCAAAGAAATGGTGAGATTTTACTGATCTTATCTTGTGGTCATGGACCTTGAAATAGTCTTCCCACATAGTTTGCAATGTTTGCGGGCATGTAGAGCTGAAACCAAGATGGCTTTGAAAAGCATGTTTGTGAACTGCATCAAGATGGCTATTTTTGCTCAAAACTCCATACAAATGTATACTATCTCCTTTAAGAAGAACAGGGCTGAGCGTCAAATCGTATTCTTAAGAATATGGCACAATAACCGACTGAGCTAATAGTCCAAACCTTTACTCCTAAAAACAGACAGGGGAAACGATTTTATCTTTTGTGGTCTTCCCGTGTGTTATGCATTTGACGTACACGATTATCCACGTCCACTATCACGTTATTCACTGTCACATTTTTCAGCAGCAGAACCGCTGATCCCTGGTAGCACTCTGATCTTTGATTTAACTGCCACTCTTTTCACGTTCTTGCGTCTGTCACAGGTTTAAACGTTGGCCACAGCACTCGGAGTTCCTTTACCTTCGACAGCACTAGGAGATTGGAACGACCCTCTTGGCGATTTTGCACTCGACGTGCCGGCTTTGTCGCGGTGAAGGTATGCTCCGTAGAAATGGTTTGCGTTAGACGACCCGTGGCTGGACATAATGCCTAAGCAGTCTTTGCATCCGAGTTTATGTACGTGATCGTTTGCACGTTAGTAATTTTGTTCATTGGACAAAATACCACCTGGAGGCCGTCCCCAAATTACGGAACTCCTTTTTTGCAGTTTACAAAATTTGCCTCCTTTTAGATGCGCACTGGCTACGCTGGGATAAAAACCCTCACGTTGATCACCCTGTGCTAAGCGTAATGTTCCAAACACGTAGCGTCCGTTTGGCCCCGAACTGAATGGGAGATACGACAAAAAAAACAGACATGCTGCTTGTCATGAAAGGAAGTCAGCAGCGTCTGGTTTTCAGGGTTAAAACATGAAACGCCCCAAGCATTATTAAAGGTACATATGAGGGTAGCGTCACGACGTCACCCTCTGTAAAGTATTGCTTTATAACTTTGATCGCGTAGAATATTATGCAACACAAATAATGTCGCGTGTAGTTCGTGCTGTGAAAGCTCTGTATTTCTGTCATCAGTAGGATTTGTGTAAGCTACATTGTCCGTATACCCGGCCACAAACAAGAAGCCGGTTGCTAGCTTCATCAGCATAATGAAAGCTTCAGAGCCAAAGTTAATAACGTTTCTGACGACTGCAGGCGAAGCTAGCGCCAAAGACAGCTGAATTCTGAGGATCACGCAGGCTAACAATCCGACACTAGCGTGCAAGGCAGGATCTGTTGACGTCCGCAGCCAACCAAACCAAATCTAACTGATCCTGCCTTTGCTAATTTCTGACCCCTGCAGGCTTAGTCATAGCCATTGGCGCCATAGCCATTTCTAGGCAGATTACAAACTGCAAAATATCACATATCTCACGAGCTAAACATTAATTACACGTGTTTTCATAAATACGCGCCAGATTGTCCTCTGATAGTTTTGAGTGACACCCAACAACCTAAGACGGCGTTAGTGATGGTGAAAGATGGCCGATACGCGGCGTCCTTCATTGTTTTGTTACGCCTCTTGCGAGGCTGTCCATCACGGTTATGACGCATCATTCGGCGTCCAACGAGCCATCATCGAGGAACCCGACATTTGCTGCTAAGCATTGAGCAGGAGAGGATTGTCACTATGCTTTCCAAATTCATCGTCCTTTGTGTGGTTTTAGGCGTTGTGAGCAGCTCTCGGAAAGCTACAGGTAAGCGGCTTTATTCTTATCTAAATTGATAATTTTGTAAACGTCATTTCGTTTAACACGCTATTCGCTGAAGACTTTTGCGCAACGTTTAAAACATGTTTGCGAGTTTCATCTTTTGTGATTGCTTTTACAAACTATATTTTAAGCTAATAGTTTTCATCTCATTTAAGAAACATAAGAATACCTCATTCACATTGAATCCTTTCAGCAAAGTGAAAGAATTCGTGTTTGGAAGTACAAAAAAGACCAGCGTGTGGCGTAACACACGATGGACCGAGATATTCACTAAAGTCAGTTCTAGATATCTTAGGTCATTGCTAAAGCCAGGCTGTAAAGCCCGGGTTAGGCTACTACTTTGTATAGCCTCAAAATACGTCATCTCAAGCTAGTTGCTTGGGATGTGCGCCTGGTGACAGACGTGAAGCGAATAAAAATTTTAAAACTCAACTTGTTTGAACTCAGATAATAGGCCTCATGTAAACGTTTTCTTTTAATTCAATAAAACACATCTGGTGTCACTTGCGGAAAATGCGTTTCCCCGAACGCATGAACTTTGACCGACTTGTGGCGACCAAATGCGTAAACTGCTGCATCATTTTTCAGGGTTGCGGCTCACACGGTGCAACATGGATGCTCGCTGCCCGGGTTATGCACCCTGCTGAGGAGAGAAACTTTCTTTTTTTTATTTCAGCCCCTCGGGCGTATGCGCTGTGAGGACAAATAACAATGTAAAACTCTGTGAGAAGGAAAAATTCCGCAAATAAAATGGAACACACTGGGTGTGGTTTGCGCCAAACCCTCATTTCCACATATTTTTTACTTCGATCGATCGAGTTATGGCGATATAGTGCACGTAAATATACTTTGGAATCATTGCTTTCAGGCTGGCCCAAGCTGTGCAAAACGGATGCTGACTGCTCGCATTACTTTCCCTACTGCGGGGAGGGCAAATGTCGCCGTAAGTAACCTACGTATATTGAACTTGTCGTTCTTGGCCCTTTGTTCTGCGAGACGTGCATAGTTCGGCAAAGACATTACATGCACGGCATTCACCAGATGCCTTCTCCTCTAACTGTTGCCAATGCAGTGGGCCGAGGGAAAAACACACACACACACACACACACCACACACACACACACACACACACACACACACACACACACACACACACACACACACCACACACACACACACACACACACACACACACTGTGTGTTCGTCTGATCACATCATGGACTGACCACACCTGACCACGTCATGAGATTATCACTCTGTGGATTAACATGTTTGGTGATGTTTCAGCGGTTACAACATTCTGCATTTCCGGCGAACGCGGCGTTGCCGGATGTAACACATGTAAATGCGTACGTCACGGCTGGGCTTGTACAAAAATTTACTGCAGGTCATGTAAGTGAATGCATAGCAATTGTTGTGGCATGAGTTATTGGCATCTAGATGGTGTCTCCAAGTGAATGACCAAATTGAGAGTTTTGTGTCCTGCTATGTTGCGGCACCATTTTAAAGTTTGATTTCATACACTTTTACTGGTGCATTCCGGGTGTTGTGCAGCTTGCACAAACAACATAAGACCCCGATACTTATACAGTTTAACACACGCCCGAGTGGAGGGGTCAAATTGACCCCCGGAAGGTTTTTCCACAATGGTTTACGAACGGCGCGGTGTACCCGCTCCAAATTTTGCACAGCTGTAGATAATTGAATAGCGGTTCGTTTGGTTTCCCAAATTTAGTTGCATCTTGCAAGGTCGCTGACTTTTGGCAGGTCCAATCAGACCAGGGTTTCAGAGAAGTCAGTTTCTAGGAAATTGCTCAAACCCATGAAACAACGAAGTGCTAGACGAAGCCGTACACCTCTGATATGCTTCCATAGGCAAAACAATATTGAATAAACAAATCACGTTGACCTGAGGTCAAGTATGAATGTCAGACCAATGTCAAAACCAACCCGTCTTATTTCTCTAAGGTCTGCCGTATTTGATAGTTTCTGGCGCACATTAAAATTTACTGATAGCACAAGCCACATTATACATTTTCCATGGGCTTCTCAGAGGTCAGAATAAGTCATTGAACTGAAATGACCCATGTTAACGTCTTTTTATTTGAAACATACCGCTTAGCGTAATCTTTTGCACTTAGTAAAATGGAAAACCCAAAGCGGTCTTGCATGATTTTGGTCACTATGACCTTGAAGAGGTCAAGCAAGGTTCCTGACCTTTAATGGGCATGTAACCTTTTGCCTTGAAACAGATATCCAGGCTCTGGTGGCACTTTTGAGACCAACGTGTAATATGACCTTGTTTGACCTTATTTGACACGAAGGCCATGACCTAGAAGCCTCAAAACTTCATGACCTAGGAACCTAAAAATAGAAGAAATAAATGGAGTGCCAATCAACTTCGCATCAAACACACATATTTGCGTGATTTTACGACGTTTCTACTGACTTGGTGCCATGTTTTTCCAATGTATTTCGTGCCGCCTACAGAGACGTTGTCTTTATGCAATGCTTCTGCTCCAGGCTATAGGTTCGTAGCGCCAACGCGTCAGGTGGCTTGTGACAGGTTTCATAGCACACGGAATTTTTGTCTCACTTTAAACTCAGCAGACCAAGAAATCAAGCGCGCCGTTAGCGGACCCTCGCCGCAACACACGACGCGACGTCAGCATGGCAGCAGTGGTGCTGTTGTCACCATGCTCACTATAGCATGCCTGTGTCTGCAGATAAGCATAAAGGAGCGGTACCGTGTCGGCTGGCAGGGGACCTGCCACTGTGCCGTTAAATATCTTCGGCACTGCTTCGGCAACTTCAGCTGGAATTGCAAGAGCACGGCCACCACTTTCAGAGGCAGCTTTGGAGCTGGTAATGGGAGTTTCTGAACGTGTGAAAAATCCGCGCACAAAAAAAATACAATATGCTTTGGGGGATCGCACGCACGAAGAACTGTGAGTCAAGACAAAGAGTACAGACACCTCTGATGCGCTCTGAAACATGATGTGATGATCCAAAATGATGTATTCATCGCAACATCTGTCTGTGATGACCCTGAAAACGCCTCTTTTAACACCACAAATGCAGTTTTTGACACCGCTTTCAGGAGTTCTGTATTTCTTTTCACACATAATGCGACCAGACCGAAACCAGCCCAGAACTTTGCGCCCTGACCAGACCTCTGCGACAGAACGCAAACTTTGCTGCACTTCTTATTGTTATTTTGTGTGGAAAATAAACCATCAGGCGGTCACGATGCATCATTCATTTTCATGATGACAATATAGCGGCATCGTCATCGTCACCATCATCGTCATCGTCATCGTCATCGTCACCATCATCGTCATGGTCATCGTGTCACCATCATTGTCATCGTCAGCGTCATCGTCGCCGTCACTCCCATCATTATCACGACCACTACCATTGGCCACACAACCACCACCATCGTCATCACCACCACCATCGCAATCATAACCAAGCATCGCACCCAAAGGCCTCACCATCGTTGTGACCAACAGTGCGACTACCGTCACAACTGCCACCACCATGATGATAAACATCATCATCATGATCACCTTCAGATTCATATTTAGAGAACCATGTGCGAGCACGTATAAGCAACCTTCGCTGATGGTGTAAAGTTCGAAAGGTTCGATAAGGAAGCCACCACCTATTTACTAAGACAGCAAGTATGAGCGTCCAGTGATGTTCCGCGCCACACGTTCGGGGTGGGGTGCAATTTTAACGTCCAGAAATATGTGTTTCAAAATCATTTCGGAACGGCGTGGCAGAGCAGCGTCAAAATTCACAGAACTGTAGGCAATGGAATAGCCAAAGTTTTACTTACAAAACTGGATATATGTGGTTAGGCTACTGATAGGTCAAAGTTAGCCCAAGGTTGTCAATGTGGGTAATTTTTAGGTTATCGTTCAGAATGATACGACAACGTAGCTTTAGACTAAGTCATACAACTTTGATTGTCTTTGACAGCTTGACTATTGAAATCAGGATTAGGACCAAATCATTTTACCTTAGTTTACCTACAGATTCAGATCAAGGTAAAAAAACTCACCACGTTATCAATGGAAAATTTGCATTATAAGATAGTTTTTAACTACCACTTCGCGTTTTTGGACTACGACGCAGAAGATTTCTTGGTTTGCCTTCATGACGTTCAAGGAAGGTTACTGGCCTAACAGGATCTCAATTAAGCGTTTGCTTTGAGGAGCATGCCGCCAAGGGCGGTGCTTGGCGCCGATGGTAATTTCGAATATCAAATTAATCCAGAAGGTACGTTGGGTCATTTTCACCTGCTTATGTTAAATTTGGTCACAAACTTACTATTAGCACATTGACACTTTGCATACAAGTGGTACCTAATTTGGACGGGTTGTGTGTAGAGCAGAGACACTGTTGTGGGGTGGGGTTCTGTAATGCTTGCGTGGTGCTTGTGGTGCTTGGTTCTTGCGCTGCACTGCTGCCGGGCTGCCGCTGTATGCCTGTGCTCCGCCGGCGCCGCTGTCACATCTTACAAAAGCGAATTCATATTGAGGAGCCCATTGGCCAGCATACGAGTCAAATGATGCAAGCCCACGACTCAGCACGTTGTGCACCCGACATCATTACATACTCATGTGACTCACAAAGCCAGGATGAGGCGGGTGACCGGGGTATTGGCGGAACGGTAGGCCCGATCAGATACCATGAACGGCTTCTCTCCGTACATGGCTGTGCGCCCCTATGCACGGTACTCCACCTCCATCGCTGAGCTAACGACAATATTTAAACGAGGCAAAATTGGAGCTATTAAATGCAACAATAATCAATTGCACTGATAACACGCTCAAATTGGCAGGGACACAACGCAAGCGGTGAATTACGTTGGCAGTGGCCGGTGAAAAGCAGCCCTCGCAGCCCACTTCGGCCTCACACCCGTACCTCTGTATGAACGGAGAAGGCCACGCAAACTCAGACGACTGGGTTTGCTGGGTTGGGTACGACTGGGCTGGGTACTGGCGAGCTCTCACCGCCCATCAGACCAAATTTAAAACACGTACGCCTACGTCATCGCCGGAGCGTAGGCATGCATTAAAGACAAATACAATTATATGCAATGACTTCTGCCAATGAGTATTTCAAAATGACTTATTGAACGAATGGCGCGCACCATCACGTGCATCTCTAAACACGGACTGGGTTGAGCAATCTTATTTTGCAACTTGGTCCTGCGTTATGCATTTGATCTGTCACTAGGTTACCACATTTTTTTCAGTCTTAGAGCCGCCAATCCCTGTAAGTGGCTTAGCTCCCATTCCCCACGTCCTTATGGTTGCACCAGACATTTGCTTGGTTCACAGTTGTAATTCCTGGTTTTCACTGGTTTGTCCCACAAAGCAGAACCCTGAATCATGTTTCCCTGGTTCTTTCGACAAAATAAAACCGGGATTCAAGTTCTTGCTAGCTCTTCTGATAAACCAAGATCCTGGATCTTTGGATCCAAGATTGGACCTTGCGCTGGTATTTCGACAAAACAAAACCATGGATCTTTGTTCCGACTAGTTCCTTCGACAAAACCATATCCTGGATCCTGGAAATTATCACACAGTATACCTCTACATAGCTCTGCTCTCGCACCACATAAAATTCACACACCATCGGCAAGTCAAACGGTATGTCCTGATGCCACCACTGCAACCAACATAGCATTACTCTTAGTTGAAGACCTTTGCCTCTGGACGACCCACAGATTCCTGCTTGAATGAAAAAGCTAAAGATAATGTTTGACACTTGAAGATAAGGAAGCAAGCATCATACATGATGGCATAAGCTCGCTTGTAACCACTGGTCAACTTTGAAGTGAAAAACTGCTCTGGAAAACATTATTTCTGTTTTTGGCGAATACACTCGGTAATATCTCACTCATTGCGTGATCGTACTTTGCATAACATTGATTTAGAGTCAACTGACGGCCGTATAATTCTGGAAATCGTGCTCGCAAACGTCAGATATAAACGACTCGATTATGATATTTTGCTTGGCTTGATCGCCGCGTTGCCAATGGCATGGCATGATCTGAATGACTATTTTAACGTCATGGATGCCTGGGTGAACTTAATGTAGCCTGCACGATGTAGTCTGTGCATGTTCGCGGACGTGTGGCTCAGAAACTAAACGGACTTAGGTCTTAGGAAAGGCAGGACTGAGAATTGCATCGAATGATATTCAAGATGGCCGGTTCAGCTCAAAACGTAACACAAAAAGGGAGCACTCCCTTTAAGGGCCACATAACACATACATGCGAAACAGTCGGCATGTACTGATATGCCCACTACAGCCAATAAGGTTTTACTGTTAGTTAAAGATCGTTGCCTGACGCATGAGTACATGGCACCTGAAGCTACGTGCTGATCACTGCCGGACAGTAGGGGTATCTGTTGTGAATGGTTCAGTAATCAACTACATTAGGATCTGGCAATATCCAAATATATTTCAAGGTAATAAAAACACTGCTGTTATCTCAGTTTTTCAACCATCAGGGTCTCCCTAAAATGCTGTCAAACTTCCAGCTAACAAGAGTTGCAAAAGGTTTTTTCGTGGTAAATATGCTGTATTTTCCGGCTGACGGGATGTGGCGAATGGGCCTGACTTTTTAAACATGAAATATTTACCTTCTCAAGGTAGGGCCGATATTGATTGAACGGCCAATGTTTGCTATGCACTTACGGAAAAGAAACAGGAAAGGAAAAGATCCAGACCCGAAACTCATAGAACTTCCATTGCCCATGCTGTCAAATGTAAACAAAAAGTGAATAGCTATGTGTAATCTGTCTATGTTGTGTTCATGTTCTTCTCGCTTTCAAATTTGCAATTTCCTGTCAAATGATGTCCTTGCTGTTAATCAAATAAGGATGTGTCCATGCTCGCATTTTAAAAGCAATCAGCTCACTGCGTCAGAGCCCTAGGCTGATAACAGATGATACGAGTGAGATGTTAGCCAGAAATCTTCCATGCGACACGTAATACATGAGCGGCCTCTGTAGCATTAGAAGTTGTATAACATCTGTTGTGTGCGATCTGTTGTATTAGAAGCCGTATCGCCTGGCCGTGCATCCATTAGAAAGCAACGTTGCGTAGAAGTCATACCGTGACTGTTATCTGGTTCTGCCGGTGGAAGCATTTGTATTAGGAGCATTGACCGTACACAGTCACAAACCAGTAGCCGGCGGCTTATTTCACGAGGATGTTGAAAGCCCAGAACTAAAACCCGGTATGGTTCTGAAGGCTGTTGACGAGGATTACGCCGGAATCAAAGCCGTGGTCGAGTCTGGTGCATGGTAACATCCCCCGAGACTAACGTCAGGCCGGAAAAACGGGCGCTATCGGAGGACAGGGCCGCCTGCTGGATTATCTATGTGCGTTTCTAGAATGATAATTATATCCATTTGTTGTCCTAAAAGCACTTTTTCAGCCCAAGTAATCTACATGCGCATGCAAGTTATGACGTGACATGTGCAGATCAAAATCATGCACCTGTTATGCATCTACTCCGCACATTTCTTTTTCATAAGTTCGCATTAGTCCCAGTGTTGATAGTCCGTCCTATGATGTCGTTAGTGATCGTAAAAGGTGGCCGATACGTGGTGTTCTCCATTACTTTGTGGCGCCTCTGCAAACTGTCCATCACCGCATGACGCATTCGGTTTCCAACAACCATCGTTGACGGGTCCGACATTTACTGCTAAACACTGAGCGAGTGAAAATGGCTGCCATGCTTGTTAAGTCTCTCGCCATTTGCCTCGTTTTAGGCATCTTGAGCAGCCCAACGACAGTTCAAGGTAAGCAGCTCCGTGAATGTAACTTGCACGCTTTGGAATCAACATATCATTTTTGATATGTGCCATGAAATTTTGACCACGCGGCGCATTTGACGTGTACACCAGCTGCTCTCTTGCCAGGCAGGCATGGGGTCGCTGTTCACGCTCCAGGTGAAGGCGTTTACGCACTTAATGGTCATTCGGACATTATACTGATTTCTCGGCCGGAGAATCAGTGCTCAGTTCTGTTAAGATATTACAATGTATCCTCCTGACTCACTTGACTCATCATCGGTGAGCTATCCGCTTTTCATCCTAGAATATGTCTGCGATGTTATTCTCTTCAACATGCACCCGTGAGAAGACAGGGCGCGACATTAGGCTAAGCACTACCGCAGTGTTTTAGATCACAGCTTCAGGCTACAGCGGTAACGAAACAAACACTATAGCGTCGTGTGCTTTGACCACAGCGTTACTATGCCGTTTGTTCAATGTACTTTCACGATCTTAAAACCGAGAATTTTTCGGTTTTCAGCTGACAAAAAACCGAAATCGGCTTATTTGCTTGCTACGGCTTTCACTTCGTTCGAGACGACACGGGCTATATTTCTTGTTCACCCTCAATCTGTCAGAATCCAGCCGTTCCGGTAGCTCACTTGATTGGACCGCCTGTGCTCCGACCTACCCCATCCGGCGCTCTTATCCTCGTTCTTAATTTATCATGAAACCTCACGACGCTCCGCCTGTCCGAGACAGGTTGTGTGCGCCAGCCGTGAGGAGGCCGAGAGGCCCGCTGGAGCGGGACCCTCTTTCAGGTTAGGTTATTTTAGTTCAATGACACTGCTCACAGAAAATATTCAGTGATCACTCCTTCCTGTAAATGCACAGTGATCATTTCAACCTAGTTGTAGTGGAAGCGCGGCTTGTGGTATAGAAGTAAAGAGACTATTTTTATTTGACTGTTCCACATTTAAAGATTTTGAGTCGAACACAATTTACTACTTGGTAGTTTACATTAATAAACTACCAAGAACGTTTCTTTTTGCCCAGAATTATTTATGCAATTAATTGTTAACCCTGATATAGCCATTGTGGTGCAACGACATTCTTGCTGTTGATAGTCCTTCGACATTGTTAAATCAGTTGTTACCAGTTATTCATGAATATAAGCTGCTGTCTCATAGGCTTGACATAGAAAAGTCAACCAATGTGGTACATTGTGTAATGTCATGGGCCAACAGCTTCATTTTGGCACCCCCTCAGTGCTGTACTGCGGCATGACATAATGAACAACCATATGGTTTTTCTACTGCAATCCATGCTGCTCTCATAACAAATTCCATCATGAAAAAATGGGTCAAGCGTGAACTCTTGTATCGGCTTCCCATTTGACATATGACTGACCAAAAACACATGATGCAATATACAAATCACTTTCAGCAAAGCAGACAAACAATACGTGGCATCACTTGCTCACCCTGTTTCGAGAATCCACAAAACGCAGGTGAGAAGGATGCAAACACATCTTCCACTTCCACAGCCATGCAACATGCTGCAGCCATCAGGCTGCTTGTTAAACAATAACAGGAAAATTTTACATGTGGTGAGGTGACGCTGCAAACATGCTAACCTTGCACAAGGCTGGAGACACAAGTCCGTGTAGTTATGGTTGGATGGGCAAAATGCAAAGAACTGATGAAGCTGCCAGTGCACACAAGGCTCATGATAAAAATTATATTAAGTGCTATCCAAGACACCAACAGCAATACTTTTCCACCTGTCTCAGCACCCAGCATCTCACGCAAGTTGCAGTGCCTATGTCATTGATGACTCACGAGCAGTGCTCGCCTGCATACGAAATTTGCCAGGACAGCACAGCGTGCATCAGTGGTAAAACAGCTCTACATTTTCGGAATTCTTTAGGGAAAGACAAGTTTGCAAAGCCATATAATGTGAGCCTATATTAAGCATGTCCATTACTGAGCTGCATGCACCATCCCCTACTGCCAAAATGAATTGCTAATATAATCATGTGCAATGGATTAATCGCATGCTGTAATACCTCAATAGGTTCAAAATGTTGGCAAGATCATAATAAAGTACCAGCTTGCCTGTATACACCCCTGTAACATAAGTGCTAGTGTTTCCCTTAGTTTGCTGGCTATCCTTTGTTATGTTCAAACACAAACATAAAGGTAGAGGCAGGTATCAATATATCACATTCTATTGGGAGTCAGTAGACTTGAAGAATACCAAAACAACGTTCTCTCTCAGAAGTACAAACCTCGCACGCACACTCCCCATCACATCAAGATCAATACAAGCCATTGGCACACACCACCAGTGATCATACACATTTCAAGCCCCCGATTCACGCTCTTTTGTCAAGTAAGTCCATAAAAAATCAAATATGTCCGTCTCGGTGGCTCAGTTGGTTAAAGCGCGTCCTTTCCAATCCACCCACCAGTGGCGGGGTGGTTTCGAGTCGCTTAAGGGCGTTCGCTATTTGCCCATGACAGGTATGGCCTGCGGCCGGTGGCAGCGGTCGCGCTGAAGGCCAGTTGACGTCAGAGTGCAGGACGGACCGTGCCAAGCATTGCGGCACGTTGAGTTTTCGCCACCAAATTCGGCCGTTGACATGGAATTGCGCGATCGGGTGGTAGGGGTCAGGGCTCACACAACAAGCACTGCTTATCGTGAGGTCTGATCCCAGAAATCCATCGATTCAAAGGGCTCGGATAAAATCTTTCAAAACGAAAAAAGTGTGGTTTCGAGTCGGGTTCGAGTCGAGTCGGGTCGAAAGTTTCGACTTTCGAAAGAGTGCCCGTTATTTAGGTGCTGTACTTTTTTGCAGACAGTGGTGTTCTTTTTTGTAATGTTGACCTGTGGCCTAGAAATAAGGAAAACTGACCCGTTCACAGCGAGTGCCGGACGACCCGAAAGTGTTCAAGCTTACATTCGCGACAAGCATTCAGCAGCAAAATCTTACTAACAGCCAGTCATCTTCCGCGCATTGTATCATACGTGCCGCATCATCGCTTTTCCGAATGTAGCAGCGGCCATGCTCTTTTGACCATAAGTAGAGAAGAGCCTGGAGTATGAACGCGATAGCATGACGTTTCTATGACGTCATTGATCCCAGGGCAACTTTGAAATAGGCTCCAAATAAACCTTTTCGCACTTTTGCGGGCGTGTAACTCAGGAGCCAGAGGGTGTTGGGTCTTAAAAGGGACATGACCGTGAACTACATCAAAAGGTCCTCAAGATGGCTATTTCAGTTCAAAACGCCACACAAATGCGGAACATTCCCTTTAACTGGCCGTGCGGGAGTGTGCTCTGCTAGCTAAAATTAAAACGCAAAACTCTATTAGAAGGAAAGCTTCCGGTAAGAGAACAAAATGCATTGGGCGTGTGTTGCGGCGAAGGCCCCTTTCCTCATCCTTCGACTTTGATGGGCCGAGTCATGGCCATCTAGCGCAGACATTACACTGTGGAAATATGATTTTCAGGCTGGAAATCCAAGTGGTGCAAAACGGATGCTCACTGCTCGCGATATGCTCCCTACTGCGGGGAGGGCAAATGTCGCCGTGAGTAGCCTGTTTACGCTAACTTTGTCGTTCTTTGCCGTTTGTTCTGCGAGGTGTGCATGTTTCGCCAAAGACATCACAAGGACGGCGTTCACCAGATGCCGTCTTTGCAATGCGTAAACCATTGTTAATGCACAAGTTTCCTCTACCAGTTACCGATGCAGCAGACCAAAGGGACACGACATGCGCTGTGCTCACCTGATTACCTTATTGCTATGCTGTATTACATGGTTGTAAAAGTTGATCTGTGATGTTTCAGCGGTGACAAAATTCTGCAGATCGGACGAAAAGGGTGTGGCCGCGTGTAACGCATGCCACTGCGAGGGCCATCACTGGAGCTGTACGGAAATTGGCTGCGCGAAAAATTGTAAGATCGTTCATTTGTTAAGGATTTGTACGTTTGTATATATATATATATATATATATATTATATATATATATATTATATGGTATATATATGCATGTATATATATATACTATCTATCTCTCTCTCTCTCTCTCTCGTCTCTCCCTCTCTCTCTCTCTCTCTCCTCTCTCTCTCTCTCTCTCTCTCCTCATCTCTCTCTTCTCTCTCTCTCTCTCTCTCTCTCCCCTCGATACACACTATATACCACTGCGTACCGGTGGGAATACCGAACATTTGGCACACATTCATGACACCTTTTTAAAACTTGATCATACGCATGTTGACGGTGCATTTAGGGTGCCATAATGTCACACGTGTAACAGGTGACACTTTCACAGTTTATGCACTGCAGCAGGTGACACTTCTCACAGTTTATGAATGCTTCACCGTTCGCACAAACGTTGCAACGTAATAGAAGAATAAAAGAAGTATCATTAGGACGTGCGCGCAGAATTTCTGAACATCGGTATTTCTAGTCTTTGCATTTTACTGTTAGCGTGGAACGACATATTTTTTGTAATGCATTTGGCTACATGCGGCATAATGCATTGTCAATATCATTATCGCCATTATAATCATTGGTACATTATGAGAAGTTCGCGTTTCAAGTAAAATATCCGTAATGACAGTGTCATCATGTGGAAATGTCATAAACATATCAGCACACAAAATATGTGACCCAGGCCAAAACTAGGAACACTGATCATTTAAGTTGGTTGACTCTTTTCGCCGTCATAACCCGGCATAAAGCCAATATATTAGCAATGGTTCTCTTGCCTCCATGCTCACTACAGCACATCTGTGTTTGCAGTCAACCATGATGGAGCAGTACCGTGTCGGCTGGCAAGGGACCTGTCGGGATGCCGCCATTGATCCTCATTACCGCTTCGGCAACTACAACTGGAATTGCAAGACAACAGCCAAAGCTTTCGGAAGCAACTTTAAAATCGTTCATGCACTCTCTTATTTTCGAGGACTATGAGCACAAAAATGCAATATACCCTGGGGAACGCGTGCACCAAGGGCCATTGAACAGGATAAAAAGCACTAATACTTTTGATACACTCCAAAAGTTGTGTTAACGATCTGGTCTAAGCGGTTAGGTGCAAACATCTGCGAGGACTCGGAACATGGTTTGATTTGATGGTCACAAGTACAGTTTTTTTGATATTGCTGTATGGTATTCACTGTTTTTTTTCGCACAGAACACCAACGGATCTCTGCAATGGAATACAAACTTTGCTGCATGCATTATTTTTCATGTTTCATCGAAAATATACTGGCAGGAAGTTGCGATGTATTGTTTAATTTCAGGTCATCACCACCGCCATCGTCATCGTCATCTATCCTGCTATCGTCATCGCCATCTCCATCGTCATCGCCATCGCTATCACCATCGTATCATCGTCGTTATCGTAACCATCATCATCATCACAACTACCACTATCATCGCCATCGTCGCCATCATAAGCAATACTATGCATGAACAACATGGTCTCACCACTGCTGTAGCGATCAGTACAACCACGACCGCTATAGGTAAACACTATGACCATATTCGTCGCCATTATCATCACCTCCACCATCACACGCTTAGAACCACACGTGCATGCACAAGAGCCTTCGCTGACGATGTAGAAGCGCGAACGCTTGAATCAGGACGCCGATCGAAGAAGATTGCAGGGCTTATCAATCAACAAGAAAGCAGCTTTAACAGTTTTAATGGGTTGCTGATTTGTGGAAATTTGGAACACAAAAATGCAATATGGCATGCGGAAACGTACGTACCAAGGACTGAACAGGGCAGAGCGACTTTTGATACGCACTGAAATTTGACGTAATGATCTGAATTAAGACGTTCGGCTCTAGCACCTGTCTGTGAAAGCCATGCTTTTTTAAAGCCGATAGTGCGTTTTTGGGCAGTTATCTCTCGAGCGATAGAAATAAAACATTGCTGTATTTATAATCGCTTTTTGAATGTATCTGAAAAATGCAAAGCCAAACGACGATCACACATTGTTTCATTTCGGAAAATCATCGCCATCGTCGTTGTCAGCTTTATCATTATCGTCATCTTCATCGTCATCGTCATCGCCATCGTCATCATCATCGTCGTCGTCATCATCATTGTCATTTTCATTGTCATTGTCATTGCCATTGTCAGCGTCATAGTCATCGTCACCATCACCACCACCGCGGCCACCACCACCACCACCAACACGTTGTTGCAAGTCCCCACACCCGACGTTCTAGAACACAAGTGTAAAAAAGGAGTTAGTCTCGTATGCCATCTACAGCCCTTCCCATTTGGCAGTGACTTTTAAGAATGAGCTTTCATGTAGCATCAGACAGGGGCGCAGCTAAAGTTTGCAATGAAGGTGCTACCAGGATTTGCAGCGATGGTGGGGGCTGTTTATCTTTTACCAGCGAGTCACAGACGTTAACAGGTATAGTACCTGGCGTATCAATGAGTCATCAGAGTTGGTTTGCCCTGGTGCCTTTGAGGGTTGTTTCAGCTCCGTGTCGCGCATGTTCACCCGGCTATCCTGTAGTCTTGCGGCTTGACTACGGCTGTTTGACTCTACATGTCCCTGCCTACGGTAACGTTTATGAGATGTAAAAGCAAAATGGTGTTCCTGATCACTAGATTTAGAACCATACTCACAGGTGCCATGATGAAAAACTGCGCTTGAACCTGACGGTGGGGCCCTAAAGCCCCATGACCCTCCCGCCCCTCACCAGACAATATGAAACCAATTGTATATGTGTGAAAAGCATTACGCAAAATCTGCATGGCATTGCGACACAATTTACAGGGTGGAAAACCTATGGGACTTTTCCATCCTACAAACGCTACCGCAGGCAGGGGCATGCAGAGTTAACAGCCTTAGCCAAGCCGCGAGACTACAGGATAGCCGAGTGAACATGCACGACATGGAGCTGAGAAAACCGTTTGAAAACACCAGGCCAAACCAACTTTGATTACCCATTGGTACGGCAGTTACCTGTTAACGTCTGTGACTCGCTGGTAAAAGATAAACAGCCCCCCACCATCGCTGCAAATCAGTGGTAAGCACCCATCGCAAACTTAAGCTGCGCCCCTGTCTGATACCACCTGAAAGCTCATTCTTAAGAGACACTGCCAAATGGGAAGTGCTGTAGATGACATACGAGACTACTCCCTTTTTTGCACTTGTGTTCTAGAACGTCGGGTGTGGGGGGACTTGCAACAGGGTGTTAGTGGTGGTGGTGCTGGCGGCGGTGGTGGTGATGGTGACGATGACGCTGACCCTGGCAATGACAATGACAATGACAATGACAATGATGATGACGACGGCGATGATGATGGCGATAGCGATTGACGATGACGGTGAAGATAAACGATAATAATAAAGGTGAGAATGACGATGGCGATGATTTTCCGAAATGGAACAATGTGTGATATTCGTTTAGCTTTTTGTATTTTTCAGATACAACCAAAAAAGCGATCATAAAGACAGCGATGTTTTATTTCTATCGCCCAAAGATAGATGTCCAAAAACGCACTATTGCCGGCTTAAAAAAACGTGTTTTTTACCGACAAGCGCGAGCCGAACGTCTTATTCAGATCATTACGTCAAATTTCAGTGGCGCATCAAAAGTCGCTCCTGCCTCCTGTTCAGTCCTTGGTACGTACGTTTCCGCATGCCATCATTGCATTTTTGTGCTCCAAAGTTCCACAATATTCAGCAACCCATTAAAAACTTTAAAACTGCTTCCGAGAGTGGCGATTGTTCTTTTGCAATTCCAGCTAATGCTGCCGAAGCGGTACCGAGGATGATTCGCGGCATCCCATCGCAGTCTCTCGTCAGCCCGACGTGGTACCGCTCCACGAAAATAAATCAACAACACAACAGATCCGCGGTAATAAGCCTGGTGGACAGCAGTGGTCGACACGACCACTGCTGCGGCACTGCTGCGTTGTGCACATGCTTATTACGGTTAAAGAGGTTGCCAATGGCTGTTAAATTGCTTGGAGTACTAAGTGATTCTGTCTGCCCGGTTTTCAAGCTTGGTGAAATGTTTCGCACGGTATTAACCCTGCGACACACCTCCTCTTAAAGCTTTTGTCACTGCGAATCACTTACTTGAAGCGTAAATGGCAGATAATAAAAGGGCGGTAATCGATACATGTCACTAAATACATGACGCAAATGTGATCTCAACCGCAGCAGAACCATTATAACATCACGTGACACCATACACAAAAGGGCTTTATGCACTGTTTTAATGACCGCCTCTTATTCGCTTTGTTTACACTGCAGGGCCCTGGGACTCTGTTACGTATACGAGCTGCGCGAGTCCGAAATGCACCGATAAAGTGCATGATTATTTCGTTTTAAGGGTTGTCATAAGAGGATACACAATCCCACTATGCAAAATATCTCGTCAGTAATTGACAGGCAAACACTATATCTATTACTATATATATATATATATATATATATATATATATATATTATATATATAGGGTTTGCCTGTCAATTCACTAACGAGATCATTTTTTATAGTGGGATTGTGTATCCTCTTATGACAACCCTTAAAACGAAATAATCACGCACTTTATCGGTGCATTTCGGGCATCGCGCAGCTCGTATACGTAACAGAGTCCCAGGACCCTGCAGTGGAAACAACAGCGAAATAAAGAGGAAAAAATAAAAAAAGAAAAAAAGAAGAAGAAGAAGAAGAAGAAGAGAGAGAGAAGAGGAGAGAGAGAGAGAGAGAGAGAGATAGGAGAGAAGAGAGGAGAGAGAGAGAGAGCAGATATATAGAAGAGAGTAGAGATAATATATATATATATATAATATTATGTATGTATTATATATATTATATATATCTTATATTATCTATATATATTCTATATCTATCTATATCTATCTTATCATATCTCTATCTCTCTACATATATCTATATATATATATAATTATATATATATATACACATATGATAGGTGTACCAAAATAGTAAATATACGCATGCACTACCATCCGCGGCCAAGTTTTGTACAACCCCAGAGGCCGCTCTATCACCACGTTAGTAGCTGTTGCATCGAGCCCTGCCCTGTTCGCCGCATTTGGAGCGCATTGTCGACGCTGAAACATCACCGAACAATCAGTGATCAGGTCGCATAGTGATCATCCCATGACGCCAGTAGATGTGGTCAACCCATGTGCTGATCAGATTATCACAGGATGTGTGTTTTGCCTTGGCCCATTGCATCAGTAACCGTTACATTAAAGGCATCTGATGAGCGCTGTCCTTGTTTATCAATTAACGCTGCAATCTTCTCCGATCGGCGTCCTGATTCAAGCGTTCGCGCTTTTACACCGTCAGGGAGGGCTCTTGTGCACACGTTTGGTTCTCAGCGTGTGATGGTGGTGATGATAATGACGACGAATATGGTAATAGTGTTTACCTACGGCGGGCGTGGTGGATGTACTAAGTACTACAGCAGTGTTGAGGCATATGGTGGTGATGCATAGTAATGATTATGATGACGGTAGTGGTA